ACCATGGTCTGTTATCAAGTTTATAGCCAAGGGCACAAGACAATACAACCCCACATTCAATTTAATTACAGCCTATGGCTTGTGCAGTAGTGGTGTGTTTCAAAGGGTTTAAGCACTCGTTTATTTCTACACCACACATGAAATAAGGCAGCTCGCTGTCACACAGACTCACCAATTAGACCAAACAGTTTCTGATCTCTTGCTCTCTAGCAGGAGAGCAGTGGGCAATGGGAAATCTTTTACAGGATAATCATGGAAGACTTTCCTGTTAGAAAAAAACAACTGCTGCCTTTAAGTTTGTGCAGTTCCCCTTTGATGCTCACAGAGGAAGAGTACCGACTTACTCATTTGGGGTTCTATAGAGTTCCAGAAGTGTCAAAATACAGCAGTGCTTCAATGACACTGTCTTCCCTCTAATTGTATGTAAAAGGTCATCTTCGTTTGACTTACATGAAATGGATAATCTCTGGCACTCCTCTCACCCAAAGCTGGACTAGGCAAGTTTCTGACTACTTCACGTGATGTAAATAACTAAACGGAGTCCAACTTCTAAAAAGTAAAAACTTTATAAAAACTTACATGCTGCTGGTAGAAAACACCACCTGAAACAGGTACATACACCACACCAATGCAACTAAGTTGATACAGCAACTGTATTTGACTCCAAAATCCAAATTCTACATGTGTGCAACAAAATGCCATTCTCACATCTAAGAAATTCACCCCAGGTCACCTTGGAGCACATCTTGCCCTCCCTACCAGCTGCCTCAAGTGGAAGAGAAGAAGGAGCAGCTCCCATCCTGCACTCCAATGCACACACAGCCCCCAGAGCCTACGGAGGCCACTGAGCTTCTTCTCTGTTCTGCTTCTCATTCCCTGCACTCATCTCCTACTTAACCTCAGGTTGGTTACAAGGATCATAGTTTAGGATATCCTTCCACTTTCAAAACAACAAAACAGCTCTGTTCAATGGCTGGTCTTTAGAAAAATTCACAGTTACGAACAGCATGGATTGTACATTGAATAAACAATAGCCAAGGTTTTGCTATGGAGACTGTTAAGGACATCAGATTTAGGGACAATATGTGCTTCATCTGCCTCCCCTCCCCCAGATTTAAGAGCAGCTTTGATGACCAGCAGCTATAACACATCCTTTCTGCAACTGTCTTCCTACATATGTAACTCTACTAGAAGAAACTTTTTCCTTTCAAGAAAAAAATAAAAATCAACCAAGAAACAAACAGCCTCAAAGGCAGGTACAATGTTACATTCCTTTTATCCTCACTTATAGATTTTAACAGTGTTTCTTTTAGAACAGACACGAAGTACATCTTGCAAGCTCTGCTAATCTACCAATGAAAGGGGATGGCACTAACACCACTATAGTGGTGTAACCAAAACTAACCTGGAAAGCTAAATAAACAGATGCACTCTCAGAAGAATTAACAAGGCATTTTGCAATCAGCAGTCTCAGTAGCTGCTGTATTTTAAGCCGCTGAGACAGGAATATTGGTCCACCTATTATCCACACAGAAATAAAGCCTAGCTTCCTAACACTGCTAAGTATTCCTGATGCTTTCTGATCCTAAGTATTCCTGATGCTTTCTGAAGAGTTCTCCTATACTGCACACATGGAAAGCTCCCGGTGATGACTCTTGGCAGAGCACTGTAACAGCTTATGCAGAACAGGAGCCTCTATTGTGGCAGTTTTTGGAAACGTGGGACATCCTCACACCAAAGGTAAAGATTGTCAGCCACTGCTAAGAGAAAAACGTAATGAAGAGAGCTAGACTAATTTATTAATTGCTTTGATTTGCTGCCATTTGTGATTTCTGTCTAATTATTTCATCATGTAATACTATTCTGCCTTCTTTTGAGAAACCTGCAGTCAGTACAAGATTTCTGGGTCTGGTCAAAGAAAGCCCTTCAAAGAAAGTGTAAGGCAGTGAAAAAAATCAAAAGAAAACAAAAAAAAACAGCACAGCAAAAAAAAACCAGCAAAAAAACACCGAAGCACTCCCCAGAACACCCAAGACAAAAGCACACGGGCCACGCTTGTGACATCCTCTGAACATCTGGTCATTTAAGAGCTGATAAACTCTCCACAAGCTGTCAGACACCGAGTTACAGACCAACATGACAGGAGAATACTGAAGTGACCCGCGACTCCGTTCACCCACAGCGGAAGCTGAACTATTTCCTTAGACCTATTTTTGGGAATTACTACTGTAGGAAGCTCAGCATGTACCAGGCCTATAAATCTCAACAGCTACCACCACATTGCAGCATCAAAAGCTTAAACTTCAGCTATTGTTCATCTTTCAGTACCATGAGAGATGAACAACAGCCAAATTACATCCCTCTGTCATCAACTTGAGCTGAAACACTGCTGTCAGTGGCAAGAAAATTGCTACACTTCAGAGCAAACAAGGACTGAAAAGCAAGTTGTGCCAAGATGGCACAGTGTGCTTAAAGCACGCTGCATAATGCAGCTCTCACGGCTGCAACCTAAGGATCGAGACAATCATTCAAAGCATCTTTTCCAATTCTGAAGGAGGCTCCTGCAAATCAAGTGTTAACAACTCATCCCGGGGCTGAAACTTAAAGAACACAGCAGCCACGATAAAAAAGAGCAAAAGCAGCATCTCTGCTCAGATTGTTTGAAGCTCATACTCAGAGCAAATTCAATGCCTCCAAGTTTAGTGCCTTTGCTTAACCTTTTCCGTACCTCAAGGTATTAATGCTGTAAGAATGCATACGCTTGCACACAGCTAAACCCACTCCGATGTCTGCTCATCACACTGCCACTCATTAAGCAGGGCGTTACACCAGGCTGTGGGACAGCAGTGTGCAACCCCTGGAAGGATAGCTGCCAACACAACCAACTTCAGGGAATCAGTGATATTTGTCAACAGCAGAATTTAGCACCACATGGCTTGATAAGATGCATTCAGTAAAAGGGCCCGGAAAGTCTTTGTTTATAATGAAGCAACCTCGATTAGAGAGCCGAGGCATTTCCTGGGGATTAATGACCAGCTGGGAGAGCCGATGACTGGAGGCCGTGCCGCGGGCCATTAACCCCAGCCAGCCATTAATTTCCCCAGGAAATGCCTTGAGTCCCAACCAGTGTAACTAGTATAAAAGGTAGATGGAAAGAAAAAGTTCAGCATGAACATTTACCCAAGGAAACTATTCCGCAGACAAGATTTTGTTACATCCCAGAAGAAGCACGTAAGTTGAAACAAGCTAAAAATGACACACAAGAATTGGTGATTAAGAAAAAAACAAACCTTCCCTCTCCTCTAGACTTAAATTAATGAGTTTTGTAGCAAAGGAGAGATTTAGCTACAGAAGTGGCTGGGTACCTTGTTTAGCTCATTATATTGTGAACGGAGATGAACATTTCCATATAATTACTTCTGAAGCCCACACTGTCTCCTAGCCTCGCTGACTGCTCATTTTCCTCCCCGCTGCAGTTATAAGAAAACAGCACATAGCTGTGCACGCCGCCACCTGTTTGAGATACTTCTCTCCTCCTCCCAGTCACAGAACCATAGAATAACTTGAGTCACCAGCCACTAATGAGACTCACTAGTGCCCAAAAACACAGCTACACAACAAATGGATCCCTCCTCACATGAGCTGGGTGTGTTGTTCAGAGAGGTGCGGGCCAGGCTGTAGACCCAATGCCCTTGCTGTACAGTTTGAGGGTGCATGATGCTCTCTCCATTGGGTCCTGTGGTCCCTGTGTGCAAGACCTTCCTGAACACTGGACCGTGCTGAGAGTTTCAAAATTACTCTCTAGGTTGTTAAAAGCAAGTAAATGAGGAGCGTGGGGTTAAAACTCAGCCACAAGCTTTAGCTGATACCTGAAATAATGAGCTAGAACAAAAGCTCTGTCTGCACACAGCCAAGCCTCCGAGCCATTCACAGACACCAGGAGATCAAACCCCACTGACTAGGTCAAAGAACACACCAAAAAGGAGGGGGCATCGGTATTCTAAAGACCACAGATGCTTATGCAGGCATCCCCGGCCTCTCCCCTAGCCAGCCCTAAGGTGGCTGAGGAGCTGCAGGCACTCGGTGGGGTCACTCCGTCCAGAACTGGTATTTCCACTTGGGAGCAGCTCAGGCATGTCGGAGAGCTGTGCTCACCCACAGCGGGCTGCGACTGACCGCTGTTATTGGGTATTGCAGGGGTGGGAGTCACATAGGGCAGTGAGCAATGAGGTTACGGCCTGAAACATGAGATTGTATGGGGCATGACGTTGGTGCCAAGATCTTATAGACAAAGCTGGAATGACTTCCAAACTTAAAGCAAAGGGTAAAAGTGTAGCAAGGTTCCAATTGAAGCCGAGTGTGCCAAGTTAGCTCCTGTGACCAAAAACCCAAAGACAGGGTAGTGCAGGGGCCAGGCAGCAGGTGGTGGGCGTGCAGGCAGAACTGGGCCTGGTTCTGCAGCTCAGCTCCACCTAATTGTGAGCTGCTGTATATTTCGCCACTATGGCAACTAATGCAACTCAAGTCAATTTGCTTCATAAAAAAAAAAAAAAAAAAAAAAAAAAAAAAGAAAAAAAAAAAGGAGGATCACTGCCAGGAAACAGAGCTATTTTAAATAAACAAATACAAGATGAATGCAATTGCCATATTAACCCTCTTGTTAACTTCTGAAGTTTAAAATTACACCCTCATTACTAGTGTGTAATTGAGTATTCTCCTGGCTGTTTCCTGCATCTGAGGTTATTCAAATAGTTCATTAGCACATCAAGAACACCACACACACTAATGATATCAGACGCCCTTATCTACTACTTTGGCCCGACTTTCAGAACTCATAACTCGCATCTTCCGCAAAAAGGAGGGAGGAGAAAAAATAAGGAGGGAAAGAAAGAAAAACAGAGGGGGAAGGGGGGCAAGCAGCAGGCTGCACGGGACAGGGTCACCAGCTTGCCTTTTTCTTTTTTTTTTTTTTTTTTTTTTTTCCTCCTTTTTCCGGTTACCTGTGTGGGGGAAACAAGAGCAGGTGATACTACAGTGGGTGAGGTGGTGCTTCTGTGCCCGTTGGCTTCGGGCAGGAGGTGAGGCAGGGGGTCATGTTTCACTGAGACCACCACCACGGCAGGCACGGCGGCGGCGTCTGGGGGCTCGGCGGGGCGGCGGCACAGTCTTTTGGGGGAGGCTGAGGACCCGCAGGCCTCACCGCCGGCCGCGGCCCCTGCTGGGAACACTGCCTCGTAGAGGGCTCGTTTGGCCGGGGCCACCGCGGCTGCTTCCGCCTTCACTGGCGCGGCGTCACCGTCTTTGGGCAGCACGTACGGGTTGGCGGTGGGCGGCCGGGGCCTCGGCCCACCGTTGAGGGCAGCGGAAGCATAGCAGGTCCCGCCAGCGGGGTGGTGGAGGAGGTGGTGGTGGTGGTGGTGGTGATGGGGAGGGGGGTGGTGATGGGGCGGCGGTGGCCCCCCCAGCTTGGTGCCTATGCCGGCGATGCTGTTGAGGGTGGCAATGGAGACGGCGCCGATGCAGTGATTGGTGTAGGTCTTGGAGAGCTTGGCCGCCTTGGAGAGCATCTGCATGCGGGTGCCCAACAGGTTCTTGCCGATGGCCTTGTTCTCGTACCAGGTGACGTCGCCCTCGCTGCAGTGGTCCCGCGGGCGCTGGAAAAAGGCTTTGCACAGGGGGTTGCGCTTGGAGAGGTACTTGACGAAGCTGGCGTAGGGGCAGAACTCAGTGCCAGTCTCGTACATGCGGGGCAGGTTCTCCTCGTCACTGCTCTCCGCCCGCTTCTTGCTCCAGGAGGACGAGCGCGACTTGTGGTAGGGCCCCAGTGCTTTGAAGTAGACGAACTTGCGGCCATCCTCGTCCACCGCCAGCCCGAAGGAGTCCTCCTCCAGCTCCCGCTGGTTCTCCCGGCCCCGCGTGCAGAAGTACATGCAGGTCTCAAACCAGACCTTGTTGAGGAGCCCGAAGGGGCTCTGCGTGCTGAAGACGCTGCAGGTGTAGAGCTTGCGGAGGTCGGCGCGCGTGATGGCCTGCTTCTGCACCACCGGCCCCGCACCCTGCTCCTCCAGCTTGCGGATGACGGCAGCCAGCGTCAGGTTGGCGGCACGCAGCTCGGGGTCCTTGGTGAGGTCGAGGGTGCGGCAGTAGGGCGGCTCGTTGAGGTAGCGGTTGAGGGAACTGCGGATGCTGATGAGGGACGACTTGGAATAGAGCTGTCCGCTCTTGGAGCGTGCCTCGGCGTAGAAGGAGCGCAACACCCGGCACAGCGCCCCCTTGTCCATGGTCTCGAAGTCCGGGCTCTGCGCCTTCTCGCTCAGGTACTCGCGGAAGATGCGCACGGCGTAGCGGGTGGCCAGCCGCGTGTTCTCGCTCAGCCGCGCCCGCTCGGGCCGCTGCAGCAGCAGGGCCGCCTCCAGCTCCGCGTCCTCCGCCGCCCCCCCGGGGCCGCCGCCGCCGCCCCCCGGGGCCGTCGCCGCGGCTCCCCCCGGGGCTGCCCCGACGCCGCTGCTGCCGCCGCCGCTCGGCGTACGGCCCGGGGCGGGCGGCATGGGCTCGGGCTCCTCCTCGCCGTCCCAGTCCAGACCCATCTCCTCTTCCTCCTCCTCCTCCTCCTCCTCCTCCTCCTCGTCCAGCAGCAGCCCCCCATCGGCTCCGTCCTCCTCCTCCTCGTCCCCCGTTATCTGCACCTCCTGGATCTCATCCTCCTCCTCGCCCTCCTCCTCCTCTCCAGCGCTGCAGTAGCGGTGCGGCCGGGGGGCTCCTCTCCCACGGCCCGGCGGCCGCTCCCCCGCGCCGTACCCGCCTCCCCCGCCGCCGCCGCCGCCGCCGCCGCCACCGCCGCTCCACTCGCCGCCGCCGCCGCTGCCAGGCATTCTCGCCATATTGCCGTCTCCCTGCCAGTCCTCGGGCAGGGCGCATGCGCTATATTGGACCGCAGCGCTGGAGCGCTTTTGTGTTTAATGACCTTCAGCTACCGGGAGGCAAAGCCGGGCTCTTAAAGGGGCCGCGCTCCCAGTGGCGGCGGCGGGGAACGGACGGGGCGGGACGGGAGAGGCTGGGAGAGAGCGGGGCTGCGGGGAGCGCGCGCCGCACCGCGCCGCGCCGCTGAGCTCGAGGCCGGCCAGTCCACAGAAGGGAACGGGAGCGGGAAGAGTCCGCGTCTGCCCGTCCCGCTTGTTTTTCGCTCTGTCACTTAACACTGACTCAAAGCTTCCGAGAGCTCTCGAAGAGGGGGACCCGATGCCGAAAACGCGGAGCAGAAAGGCCGCTAAACGGCAGGAGCTGCAACGGATGATCGTCGAGGTCCCTTCCAGCCCACGCCAAGCTATGAGTCTACGATTATATGATGCTATGATGCTGTGTCCCAAACGAGTTTTTCGGAGGAGCTCTAGTGACCCACCCAAGAAGACACAGAATTGCAGGGCTTGCAATGCGTGGATTTTCAATGGAGATCTTTTTCCTTTATTGCTCTAGTAAATGCAAAAAATGACACAATTGATATTAGCCTTCCAACCTGATTCTGTGCTAAGGTCATACACTTCCTCTCCCTCTCCCTCTCCCTCTCCCT